TCAGAGCTGAATCTTACAAGTTCCTCCTGCCTCTAAGGCATGTTCCTGTTATAGAGGGGTTGATGGTTATGGGGGAAGGAGACTTGAAGAACGTTTAAATTCATCAGCAAAAGAGCCATTAGGTTATTTTCACAACATTTTAAAATCAGCCTTCTGGCACTTGGCTGAAATGACTGAAGGCTGGTAGCATGGTAACTTGGCATCTAGCGAGATGTGGTTGCTCTCTCAGGCCACTTAGCTCTGGCAGAGATCAGTTTAGATTGTGAATGAGGAAATGCAGAAGTTCCAATCAACAGCATAATCCCCACGTTGCACCAGCCATCATATGCTCCTGAATGATGTTTTCCATGACTGAACTTCTTGCTAAAGTGCAAACATGCTATAGAATTACCAGCAAACATCTTTAGAGAGGCATGGCACTCATTTCTATTTTTCTCCCTTTTCTCCATTTTCTTGTGGATGTATTTCTGTTGGGGTCATTTATGTTCAATTAAATGATAATTTCTGGAACACTAGGAATGAATTGGTTGCTAAATTAAGTTGTAAGACAGTAAAACAAGCTCTTTAACTTCTTCCCTAAATTCTGTTTAATGTAAAAAATGTAGAACCTGATTTTTGTTATAAGTTGTCTCTTTGTCAGACTAGAGAAAGTTTCATTTAAATGTCACAAGGTACAGTTGGCATCTTATTTTATTTGATGGCTTATAATCCATTAACATCATTTCCTCTGATCCTTAAATTGTTCTGGATTTGACCAGTAGAAAAAATCTGTATGTAGAGCTAGAGATATGTGTAGATCAATGGGTCTCAACCAGGGGAAATTTTGCCCCTCGTGGGACACTTGGCAGTGTCTGGTGACATTTTTGGTTTTCATATCTGAGGGTTGAAGGAAGGGGTGATGGGAGTGTCTTACTGGCATCTAGTTGGCTGAGGCCAGGGATGCTGCTAAACATCCTACAATGTAGTAGCCTGAATTATTTGGCCCAAAATGTCACTAACGCCGAGGCTGAGAAACCTTGGTGTGTGTAGATGAGGGGAATGATGACGTAAACATGGTATAATATTGACATCAGGGTGAAAAGATTATGGGAATTTTCATACTATTTTTGCAACTTTTCTGTAAATCTTGTTATTCCAAAATTTTAAAAGGTTTTAAATGGGTATAGTTGGCAGATTTGGTCTTAATACTCTGATCTGCAGCCTAGAGATAGAAAATGACTTGTCCCTTGTTGGGAATGTAAGTTCAGCTCAGTCATTGTCCATGACCTCTGGGGTCACAGTCTTCAGGGACAGGAAGGGAAGTTGGCAGAGGTCCCGATTGCCCACATGGGCCATGGCTGTATTTGCTTGCTCCACCATGAGAATGCACACCCCTTGTGTCGAGGCCATATTTAGACAGAGAACTAATGTTCTGCTTAAATTGTTCTTTTTAACCTTGAGTTGGAAGCTGTTGATGAAGAACCGACCCCTCCTCACCCAACCCCTCTTTAACTTGTCCTCAGACTGCATTATATTTCATATATATCTCCCAAGGAATTGTTCTTAGGTCTTTTCCTTGAGTTCATCCTGGTTTCTCCAACAATATCGTGGGCTCCTCTGGGCTAGGAGTCCTGCCTTCTGTTGTATGGATGTGTAATGTGGTGGCTAAGAAGAGTTCAGGCTCTGGAGACACACTGCCTCTTCCACCTCTCACTAGTTGCGTGACCTTGGTCATATTATGGAACCTGTTTGTGCCTCAGTTTTCTCAACTGTTAATGGGGAGGAAAATACACCTGGTGGAGTTTAAATGAGTTAATAGTTGTAAGTTGGTTCAACAATGGCACATATTAAGACCTTAATAATAAAGTTAGTGTTTATTTATTCAGTCATTCATTCTGCAGTATTAGAATTATTTTGCCCTCCCCACTCCCTGTACAGCATTCCCTAACCTCTGTGTTAGGCAGATGTAGTTGATGTGTCCCAATCATCCAGGTGCTTCCTACAGCCCTGGCTCTGGTTCTCGCTGTTTCTGTTGCATTGACTCAGCTCAAATGCTTATTAAGAATCTCCAAGCTCTGTGGCAGGCTCAGTGATTGGGACTTTTTAATCTTTTATGTCTCTGTCCCTTTCCCATTCCATCCTATCCAATTCTCTTCTTCCATTCATTGGGTATTTCCAATGAGCTGTACACTGTACTAAAGGCTTTTTATTATTTCCTTTGCTTCTCATAATAGCCCTGAGTGAGGCAGAGGCCGTTATTCTCCTCACTTTACAATTAAGGAAACTGAGGCTTGGAGAGGTTAACCAACTTGACTAAGGCCACAGAATTAAGAAGTAGTGTGCTTTTCCCTCTACTTTCCCGTAATGATGTACTTTGAGCAAGGGGCCCACTCTGTTGGTAGACTATAGTGCAAAGAGTTGATACCATTCCTCTCTTTTACTTCCTTACAAATGACAGAAGCTGGAAGAGACCTGCACAGATGAGCATTTAGCATTTGTCATGTGCCAGGGCCTGTGCTAGGTGCTGGGACATAAAAATGGAAAAAACTTGGTCAGTGACCTCAATTTGTTTAGTGTCACAGTTGTCTTTTACTGTAACAAGGCACCCCAAAACTTAGTGGCTTGAAACAATGATTTATTGTTTCTCATGATTCTGTGAATTGTCTGGGCTCAGTAAGCAGTTCTTCTGCTCCATGTGATATTGTGTAAAGTCACTCATGTGGCTGCATTTAGTTGGGAGCTTGGCTTGGGGGGCCAAGATGGCCTCACTTACATGTCTGACAGTCGGTGCTGGCTGTTGGCCAGGGGCCTGTGTTTTCCTCCATGTGGCCTCTCATGCTCTGGAGCCTCTCACCACGTGATCTCTCCAGTAGGACAGATGGACTTCTTTACGTGGTTGTTGGCTTCCAGTGGAGTGACAATGGAAGCTCATGGCCCCTTAAGGCCTAGTTACAGAAGTCACTCGGCATCACTTCTGCCATATTCCGTGGCCCAAAGCAAATTACAGGGCCAGCTCACGGGGTGGGGAAAGAGACTGTACCTCTCAATGTGAGGAATGGCTTAGGAGCACAGGGGTGGGAGGGATTGTTGTAACTATCTTTGAAAACCTACCACACTCACTGTCCCTCTAGCTCTTTAGCTGGAAGAACAGGGTTTTAGAGCTGGAAGTCTTCTTAACCATCATCTGATTCAACCTCCTAGTTTTACAGATGCAGAAACCAAGACCTGGGAAGTCAAGGCATTTGGCCTAGGCCAACACACGTCTTGGAGGAGCCAGGCTTAGAACCGGGCTTGCCTGGTTGGTGTTATCATCTGTGTATGCCAATGGGTGCTTTGCTTTTCTTCCAGCAGAGGATGTCTCTGCCGAGATCCTCTCTGACTTAAGGCCATCCCTGTTAAGTTTGGAGACCACGAGGGTGCAGAAGAAAGAAGGGACTCGCTTTTTCTTCTTCTGTTTCTGGGCCTGGTGCCTACCTCCTTATTCCTGGGCTGGGCACCGGGCGTCTTCAGTTAGTGCTTTGGCCGCATTGACTAGCATTGACCAGGCATGCCTTCTTCATCATTGCCTCTTCTATATGTTGGAACATGACATGATGCTGGGTTTTACCACATGCATAAAAAGTGGCTGCCCAAACCCCACCAGATGTTATAAAATGAAACCCAACACATTTATGTAATGTTTTAGACTAGTCTATTATGCTATAGTATGTTTTCCTAAAATCCACAATTACAGCAATATAATATGTGTTGCTTGTTTTGAAATGGAGCAGGTGAGCCATAAATTATTAATTTCTCTCGGTGTAATGACAACCCTGAAAATAATTAAAAAGTTCCATTTTCCCAGATCATTATGATGCTGTTTTGGATATTTCCAGCCTCCTGGGTAGAGGACAGGTATATTTTGTATTAAAGACAATATTTGTTATCAAATACAGTCCTGGATCCCCCCCAACCCTCATGGGGATGTCTGACTCTTATTGAGGGTTAGGGTAAATAAGAAGTGCAATTCTTAGATTTGTGACTCCTTGAAAAACATAAATTGAAGACTGAAAGACACTCTCTAGGAAACAATATTCACTTGATTCCTGTTGTATTGAGTAGATTATAGATTATATAAAACTATTTTTTCATTCTAATAGAATTTGCCATTTTTGTAGATTAAATAAGTAATGTTTGTTTATTATAGAAAATTTAGAAAAGACATAAGCACACAAAGGAGAAAATAAAGATCACTTGTAATCACACCTTGTAGTCAAAACCACTGTTAACATTTTTACTGTATGTTTTTCCCATCAGAGAGATAGAGCAGTACATCTATAGATTGATATGAAGGAAGAGAGAGATGTAGATATAGATAGATGTAGATAGATGTAGATATAGATAGATATAGATATTTTTTCTTTAAAAGAATGGGATCACAGCCGTCCCACTACTGGGAATCTATCCAATGAACCTGAAATCAACAATCCAAAGAGGCTTATGCACCCCTATGTTCATTGCAGCATTATTCACCATAGCCAAGAAGTGGAAGCAACCTAAGTGTCCCTTGACTGACGATTGGATCAAGAAAATGTGGTATATGTATACAATGGAATACTACTCAGCCATAAAAAAGACAAAATCATCCCATTTGCAACAACATGGATGGGCCTGGAGGGTATTATGTTAAATGAAGTAAGCCAGAAGGAGAAAGACAAACACTGTATGATCTCACTCATATGTGGAATATAAACCAACACATGGACAGAGAAAACTTTATTGTGGTTACCAGGGGCAATGGGGGTGGGGGGTGGGCACAAGGGAGTCATATGTATGGTGATGGACAAACAAAAATGTACAACCCAAAATTTCACGATGTTAAAAACTATTAAAACATCAATAAAAAAAATGGGATCATACTGTAAAATAATTTTGCAACCAGATTTTTGTGTGTTTTGTTTTGCCTAAATGTGGCAAAAACATTTTTCCATGTCATTAAATATTCTTCCATACAGGGAAGTAAATCTTTCTTGTTTTGACAGGACAGTGATATTGAAGCACTGGTCAGATGTTTGGAAAATGTCCTGGGTTGCACCTCTCTAGGTGAGTAAGTTTCTTCAGATTCCAAAATATAGTGATACTTACTGATTCTAATGGAATATCCAAGAGGTAGAAAGCTTGGAAGGAATCTGACAGATATTTCAGTCTAACCTCCTCATTTAAAGATGAGGAAACTGAGGCCAACAGAGGTTGAATGTCTGGCCCAAGGGCCAGGAATCTCAAAGAATTGTTTATTATTATTGTAAGTAACCCTCAGTCTCCAAGGATGAAATAATTGAAATTCAGTGGTCCATAGTGATCAAATGGTAGCCTAGCAGTGTCTAATAATGGGTTTTATAGGTTTCCTGGAAAAGGACTCTCCCTACCTCCCTCGTCCTGTAGAAACAGATTGCATTCAGTCAAGCTGAAAGGACTATCACTCTGAAGGTCAGTCAGTTATGAGAAGAGATTTGGTATAAAAAACAAAGCTGAAATTTCTTTAGCATTGTTTGTCTCGATAAATGGGATTGCTGTGCTTCAAGGATAAAATCCTATTTCTTAGTTTCTTCTTCTTTTTTAATCCAAAAAGCCCAACTGTGATAACTTCTGGCACTAGACAATAAATTGTCACACTTGACATGGATAGAATAGCAGAGGATATTCTTACAGGTCCTGGGTGAAAAGGGCTGAGATTTATTTTTCTTTGAAATTTGATTGTGAGTTTTTATTTAAAATTTTTTAATTGCGTGACCAAAAGCAATCTCTTCAAAGGGGATGGTGGGAATAAAGATTAAGTTTTCAGTTTGCAAACATTCACCACTATTTTATTAGCAGCTTTATGCACAATTTTTAACCTTTTTCTAGCTTATTCCACATTTTTGTGTGCAAAGTCTCATTCACAACACAGCTCCCTGATATTTTTCTTCTGACCATCACCCTCTGATCTGTTCAGTTACACATCAGTAACACTTGTTAGGTACGTTTAACTCCCAAGTATGAACTTCAAGACCAAGAAGGCTTTCTTTTGACCAAGTCACTTTCCCTCTCTGGACCTCAGTTAGATTAGATCCATAATTTTCAAACTGGGTTCCTTGGGGACCTCCAGGAGCAGGCCAGGGGAGGTGCACTGAGCAGCGTGAGGCCAGAAGCTCTGTCTGCACTGTTCATCTCCTTTTCTCCAGACTCGAACATGGAGTCTGGTGCAGAAGAGGCCATTCACAGATATTTTTAAGAGAAATGAGATGCAGACCCTGCTCCTTTACCAGCTTCAACCAAAATAGTTTCACTCTTATCTGTTTTATAGATTAGATTTCTGCATAAGATTATGTCCTGAAAAAGATAGACTCTCCTACAAAAAAAGAAAAAAATTAACATTGGATTGGATAGATGATATCTAACTTCTCTTCTAGACTGTATAATTTTATAAAAATGAGCATTAGAAACATGGAATAAAAATACACATTTATCTCTGTCTGGAACTCCACTAAAGTGACAGAAAAGGAATAAAGCTGATATAAACTACAGGAACAAAGGGAACAGGACGGGGGGTGGGAGCAAGTGAGAGCTGTTAGTGAATTTGAGGAGATAGAAAGCAGATGGATGAGTGGTGATTTAGAAAACAGAGAAAGGTGAAAGCTAAGTGCTTAAGATGTGTGTGGGAAGGAAGCGAGGGTGAGGGGTAGCCTAGGAGACACTGGGAAGATGGGGGGCATGCTTTTGAAATACCTGTGTGGGGAGGTACTCACAGCGGGACCTTCATTGCAGGTGAGAATTTTATTACTTTCAGGACTCCAGGCGCTTCTCTCATTCCACAGAAGCCGTGAAGAAATGTCCTCACATAGTCTTACAGGAGATGAGGTCGCTCAGGTAGCCAGTGTCTGTTTTGCTTACATTTTTGGGAGATTCACCAGCTACAGCAACAGTTAGATGTTATTTGGCACCATGCTTGTTAGTGTATGTCAGAATGTTAACAGGATCCAAGGGACAACTTAAACTCAAATATATCAGAGTATAAGACTTGTCACTTAAAAATGAAATTGAGCTAGGCTTTGCTCACACTCAGTATCAGCCTATGCATTTTGGACATGTCCAGTTGCCCGTTGAGCATGTTAAGATGCTAAGTATCTTCCACAAACATCTTCAAGAGCTTCTCCTAACCGTCAACAAGAGAGAAAAGAACAACAGAAATGCAAATGTCCTTTCTGGTTATTTGGACCAAGAAAGTTTTAACTTTGTGGCCCTGAAAATGTTGTGTGCAGTGGTTTGACCCCATCCCCAACCCCAGATTTAGTTTTATTTCTATTTAAGACAGGGACAGTGATATTTTCCCTTCTTATATCACTGGAGAGTGGAGAGGATGAATGTTAGCATTTGTGTAGCATTTCTGTAACTTCAAGAGATCCTGAATTAGAAGGTACCCTTTTGAATTCCAAGTTCAGTATATTAGTGTCCTCTATACATCCAGGTCATTTTAAAGCCTTTCAGTCAGCGCTTCTCACACTTGATCATGCATCAGAATCACTTAGAGCGCTTGTGAAAATGCAGGTCTTGTGCATGCCCAAGAATCTGTATTTCTAACAAGTTCCCAAGGGATGCTGATGTTCTGGGTCCAGACCAAACTTTGAAAATAATGGCATTAGAGTCCTTAAGCCCTGAAATTCTTATCGTGCACACCCACGCCAATTTATAATTCAAACAAAAAATTACTTAAGTATAAAATAAAAATTTAATTTCTTAAAATTATAGAGAACTTGCCTATAAGCTAAAATGAAAATTGCTTCTTTCTAGATTTTCTGTTTCTTTGTAGTGCTGTCAGTGTGTGCTGGGCTATCTGGCACTGTATACAAGACTACTGAGCTTCCTTGGAACCAGTATTGTATTTTTGCCTCATCCTCAGCATCTGCATCAGACATTTAGAGAGGTCTGGTGGGCTCCAGGCACTGTATGAGGGCTCAGATGTTGAGACCTAGTTAGAACATGGTCCCAGCCACCAGGTGGGGTCCTGGATGAACAGTGCAAAGCTTTGTAACAATACCAGAGAGCACCCACTAGGTGCTTCTTTCACACATGGAAGACATACTGTCCCAAAAGGAGGCACCTCATTTCTGAAGCCCTAAATTCCCCCTGAAATTTCCTGTGGAGTACAAGAAGCAAGGCCAGCCACGAACAGGCTGCTGAGTGATCCCAGGTGGAATTAGGAGAGGGAAGGAGAGAAGAAATTTAAAAGGTAGCAGGAAAGGCCAGAATTGAGGGCATGGGGGCCGGCCAAAAATGTAGGCAGTGACCATTACACTGAGGGCAGATACTTTAAAACATTACACTGAGGGCAGATACTTTAAAACATGAAATTTCTGTGGTTTAAATGTGTAGCCTGTGTTTTTCCCCCCTCCTTTCTTCTCTACAAATGTTTATAAAGCACATAGTAATAAGCCAGATGTCACAGAGTGATGAAGAAAACAAGGTCCCTGTCTTAATGAGCTCCCAGTTTAGTCAGGGAGGCAGTTACATACAGGGGACTGTGATGAGGACAACACATTCTGTGAACAAGGAGGAGAAGGGTCCCCTATGGGGGTGCAGCCTGGGGAAGGCTTCCCAGAGGAGGGCAAGGTTTGTAATTTCCTATGTCTGTGAGGGCAGGACAAGATCTCATTCGCTGTAGTGTTCTCAGAATCTAACACATAGCACTTGTTCAATAATCATTTGGTGAATGAATAGAAAGATGAGTAGGGTTGCCAAGTGGTCAGGAGGGGAAGTAGTCTCTAGAAAGGATCAAGCAATATGAAGGCTCAGAGGTATGAAACAACTGCATATATTTATGTAACTATCGAGAAGTTTGGTGCAGCTGGAATGTAAGGTGTGAGGAAGGGATCAGCAGACCTGGTTATATAGAGCCAAGGCCATGGAGAATCTCGTGTGCCAGGTTAAGGAGCTTGAACTTTATCATGTAGGTTAGGATACCATTGGTTTCTTAAGCATGATGAGAAAAGATCACTTTTAAAAACAGTAAGAAGGATGCTTTGAAAAGAATAACTTGAGATGGGGAACTGGTTATGGGCTCTCATTACACAGACAACAGATGGTGTTACTATAGCAACTGTTCAGGCCCATCACTACTCAGAAGGACAGAAGACGACCCCTATCTTCCTTTTCATTGAATTTAGTAGGGAAAATTCTGTCTCCATATTTCTTAATAACCTTATTATGAACCAAGGCAACATATGAAGTTTAATACTTTTTAATGTTTTGGAAATTAGTTGTACTTCTAGAGAGAAGTCATCAGCAGAATGATACGAGTCCTTAGTAAACTATATTTATAAAAAGGCTTGTTTTGTAGATTCAAACTGTATGTTGTCACAGAAGTAATTAGAGTACAAGAGATACTTCAAAACCTCTCTGCCCATTAAGAATTTTTTAGTGTGTTGATATGTCTGATCAGTTAGGCTTTTTGAAAATTGTTACCCCAATTGTTCTTCCATTGAACCTTGGTAATAGCTATTTAATCTCCACTAAACAATGTGACTGATATAGACCAGGCATCAGGGCTTCTGAGTCCCTTAGGAACTTCCTTTGCTTAAGCTCTTCAAACTCTAAGCCATTAAATGTAGGGATGACTGACAGCCATTTAACCTTGCACTATTGTGCTTTTCACCTTGACAGAAAAGAATTTCTCATAATAATTAGAGTGCTTTCAACATAGTGTTTTCTTTCGTTACTGACACATTGAAACCACCACATTTGGAGGAGAGGAGGGATATTTTGGATCAGAAACAACTTGGATTATTTTGATGTGGATACACAATATCTGGTTATCACTAACCTTTCTGTATATGTCTTATAAAAAAACTATTAAATTTCTATAAGTTCTTTAAAACTCAAAAGGATGCAATAGATTCAAAATTACTGGCAGTCTACAGAGAACTTGCTATGTGTCTGCTAGACACATTCATTTGGCAGATGTGTGGTGATGAGAAGGGAGCAGGAAGAAGGCTTTGTAGTATAAATAAATCCCTAAAACAATATTATTAATCATTCTTAGTAGTATACTCTTAGCAAAGAACCTTCTG